ATATATAACTCAACATTTTCTGTCTGTCTTAAAGCTGAAGTCTCATCCGTCTGCACTTCCTCTTGCTGTGGTTCGTTGCAACATGGTTGAACAGTTGGCTCCACCACATGTTGCTGCAACGTTCAGAGAAACTCGAAAGATGTTTTATWTTTTAACTCTGAATTGATGAAACTCAGACCCTTTTTAATCTGCAAATTAGAACTTTTTACGAAATCAGACATTTTAAAACTTATGGGACTTCCCGCTAAAAAGTAACGAGGGCCTATTTCCTTCATTTGTTTGACTCTAAACTGAATTAAAAGTGACTTCATAGTTGAAGAAAAAAAGGACATTTTTATATTATATCCGCCTAAAATAACTAAAAAATACCTATTTCTAACAGCAGAACGTAACCGATTGGTTGTAAACAYCTCAAAACAAGGTAAAACTGAAAAAAACTGACTGATCTTCAGCAGTTTAATTTATAGAGTGGTTCCCACTTGGTTTTAAGCTTGAAGAGTTTGTAGCTCCATTATTATTCAGTTATTGTTTAACCTGAATCTGTCACATTGTATATTTTTGTAACTTTTATACATACAGTGAAGCCCCGTAAAGTTGCATATAACAGTTTATGGACTCAGTTTTTCGCAGATTTTTCTCATAAAACCTAACTACCAGTAGTTTGTTGTATTCTCCATAATTTTGCGGAAAACGGAAATAAAGATAAAATATTAAGGAATATATAAATGACTAATTTTGTACCATAAACTACCCCAAATTTTGTTCCATATGAATAAAAACAGTACAGTACGTGACTCATTACGTTTACTGCAGTGGTTCCCAACCTGGGGGGCGCCAGAGAGCACGGGAGGGTCATAATGTTGTCATAATATTTTTTACTGTTTGTTGTTTGAATATTAAAATCACACAAAAAATACTTGAATAATTAAAACATTAGATAACTCAGTTCTTTGTTTTTTTTTTTCTTCCCTTTTTATAAATAAAAGTGTGTAACTATTGGCTAACTATTCATCATTTAATATTTTGAAGACGTGTCTGTGGGAGGGGAGGTGTGGCGCAGTAGATGTGTGTGAAAACAGGTTGGGAACCACTGGTTTACTGTGAAGTACTGGGAGGCATGTAGCTGTTTTGTTTTTGGACTCTTACTGCGTTACGATGACACCCAAATGCCCCACGATTCACTCACTCTAGGAACCCCTGTGAAAATGGAGGCTTCGCTGAGCAGCACGTTTAAAACAACTGAAGTTAATTAAAGTGCTTTATGTAGTCAAAGCAGATGATACAACAAAGTAAAATATATTTTAAAAATTAGAATAAAAAAACATTAAAGTTTGTAAACTAGCAGCAAATTCCCTGACCAGATGACGAGCAGGAACTCAAAGAAAAATATTTGAAATGCCAACATGACTCAGGTGGGTGGTGATAATGCCTCTGTTTAACGATGAATCAAAAGGCAACAAACGTTCTGAGACTGGTTCAGATTAAGATTTAAACATGTTTGTTTTCCTCTTGAAATATTCTCAGTCTGCACTTGATTAAAAGATTAGTGGTAAAACAGCTGCCTCTCTGAAGGTTTAGCGTTTGATCTAACCCTCCATCTCCACCTTTCAGGCCCACGACAGGGTGATGAGGGACATTAAGCTCCTGCGCTCCAGTCAGTCCAAAAAACTCTTCGGCGACATGGCGGCCATCTCTGCCGCTGTGGTGGAGAACGGAGGTGTGGTCTCTCCTCACCCGCTGGGATTCTAACCCACCACTCTCCACTCCGTGTCRTCATGTCTGGATTTAGTTTCCACTCTTCTGGATCTGTTTTTGAGTTTGTGTCATGTACGCCATGTTTCAGTCACACGAGTGTCTTTTCGTCAGGAATGTRCGTTCAGTAAAAGCAGCTACAATGCAAGGCTTAAAGTGCCTGTGACATCAAATTTTTGTAATAAAGATAAACGCATTTTAGGAAAGATAACATTGATAAAATGTTGCAAAAAAAAGTTTCATGACATTGACATGAGCTGTTGTTGAGATATTCTTATGTGAAGTAACAGGAAGTGATGTCAAAGGGGAATGTCTGAATGTGAACAGAGTGCTGCTACAACAGCTGCTGAGAAGAATCTGATGTTTCTTTGGATTATTTTAAGTCACTGTCAGAGAGATGAAGAGTCAGAGTTTAAATAATTTTGTTTCATTAAAGACCAGGGAGTTTAATCTCTTCATAAGTTCCCCTTTGATGTCACTTCCTGTTTCACTTTGAGCCAAATCTAAAACAAAATATGCCCATATAACAAAAAGTAAAATAACACTTTTTTAACGTTTCTTAAATATAAAGATGTTTGTTTTTTTTTACTTTTTGTATTTGAAGGATAAACATGTCACAGGTACTTTAAAGTTGTCATTTTTACTCACGAATCTGTTTGAAACTCGATGTTTTGCTGGTTTCAGTCATGTCGTGGTGCTTTGGGTTATTTTCCTTCTCACTAATTTATTCAGTTCTAACTCCAGAGCGAGCCAGGATTTGAGCTGGAGTTTTAACTCCTCGGGAACTAAAAGGAAGTCGGAATAACCTCAGTACGTTCAGGCTGAATGTGCTGAATGTGTGTAAATCTTGTAAATGGACCAGTTTCACGCTCTTAGTTTTGTTGCTTTTACAGAATTACAGTACGGTCGATGCAGCCTTGGAACATGAATCCAAATGATCAAAAGGATGTGAAAAAGCAGAAAATTTTGTGCACTAAGGTATCAAAGACACAATGTACCTGTTTTGATTTGTACAATTGTCTCCATGGTTTAAACTGTATGTAACTGTTTTGGATGCCTTTCAGCACGTTAAGCTTTTTAAACTACATCGAAGTCAAACTTTTGCCTTTAACAGTGTTTGTAGCTTCCAATCTTTAGAGACGTAATGAAATCTAAATGATTTAAAGCACCTGCAAACATACAACTATTTATAAAGCCTTCAGGTTCATCATCTGTACATGTAACATGATGGAGTAACGGGTTAATAGTTTCAATAAAAAGTTAATGTCATTGTATTGGCTTGAAAATATTTAAAAAAAGCTACCTAAATACAAGTAATTTAGTAGCTTTATGAAGGCCAGCGTTGGTTTATTTTCACGTTTATCAAGTTATTTGCCTCAGTCAGCACAATTTCATTGATTTGCAATTTGATGTTTTTTCAATGCAGTGCTTTAACCATTAAACATATCTCTGGTGACAATTTAAGTATTTTTCTTAAATTTTTTTAACTTTTTTTAAACACATCAGGTTTTTCTTTTAGTATTTGAAAATCATATTTTTAATCTTCCCATCAAACGTTTCTTATTTTGTGTGTGTGTGTGTGTGTGTGTGTGTGTGTGTGTGTGTGTGTGTGTGTGTGTGTGTGTGTTTTCATAACATCCTGTTTCTTCTTTCACTTCTGCCGCCTCGTTCCTTGGCAAACCCTCGACTGGAGTGCCAGTAAGCGCTGCGACAACAGTCAGCGATGTGTGAACTCAGGTTCTGCTGTTGCAAAACAACAGACGAGTGTTTCTTCTGCGGGTGACAAGACGAGATGGGATGAGGGCTGTGGCGGAGGCGCCTCACRAGGCCTGCGGTGTGAACGTCTAGAAATTCCCCAAACTGGGGCAGAGTCTGAGTCTGACTAAAAGTTTAACAGACGAGCTCAGTGGCAGCCATGCAAAACCAGAGCCGGTAAAATCCAGGAAATTAAAACAAAGTTTAAATAAAATGACCGAGGCCGTTGTTTGGATAGTGTTCTCTCAGCTCTTGGGAGAGTACCTGACTTGCCAACACTTTCCCATGCAGGTAAAACTYCAAAGGGATTTGACATCATGAAGCTAAAGGCAGTTTTCAGGCATAGAAATGGAGGGAACTTTGGGTGTAATTTTACTTCATTTTTAAACTGAATTATACTTAAAACAACTCCGACATCACTACACCTACCAACAACATTTGAGATGTGAGATCTCTAACAAGTTTACAGAAGAGAAATAAACTTCAACAAGTAAAGTCGTAGCATTGATGCTGCCTTCCATAACGTTTTAGAAAAAAAAAAACATGCTGAGAAATGACAAGGCTGTGGTCATTTTGCTCAAATACTGAAAGTAACTATTTCACCCACTGTTGCAAGGTTTAATAATCTGTAAGCAGAGTATGTTTAGTGAATAACAACTACTACCACRCCATGTTTCGACTCAGTATCTGTAAAACTAATTGAGTTACGGACAGGTTTTTGTTTGCTACGTGGTCACTAAGCTGTGGAGACGGTTGTAAATGTACATCTGTAGRYTAGTTTCTGAAAGTTTCATTAAAATCTATCCAGTGGTTTGTGAGATTTAAAACATTTGTAGTATTCAAACTAATCGTCTCCTTTTTGTGGGACATTATTTGGGGTGCTAGCTAAAAGTTTTAGCACAACTAGCTAATGAATTATAGAAACGATAGGACAAAATGTTTGTTAGATAYTGTTGGTTTTTCAATGTGTAAAAGAAGAAACAAAGTTCATAATATTTTCTTTAGTTATCTTACTTTT